ATTCCAAGTTATTTCTTTATTTAAAAAGAATTTTTATCTTTCGTTTTTCTCTTTTTTGCAGTTTACTGTAGAAATGCACAGCATCGAGTATTTCACAATGCCTGAGTTCGTTCAGCAGAAGAAATTTGTTTTTCCCATGAAGAAGACATTTTTGAAATGAACTGAAAATAAGTAAATTCCTTCTTAACGTCTCCAACAAAAACACAATTGTGTGTAAATCATTGACACTCAAATAAATTCAACAGGCAGTAGTCAAGTACTAAAATGAAATGAGTGAATGAAATGTTTAATTCATTAAAAGTCTTCATCAACACGTATCCGTAAGATATTTAATGCCGTCGTCTTATTTCTCAAGTGTGTGCGATAACTAAATATCAAGAAGAAGATGCAAACAAATGTGCAAATTGATTCCAAAAATTTGCGTGGCTGTGATGATAATTTCCGGTCACGTGGTCATCATATAACCATTGAGGTAAGTAACACAAAATCTAGTACATACGTTTTTATGTGATTATAATGCGATGAATATGAAATTATTAACATAATTATTAACATAATAACATAGTACGTAGCATAATAAGTATTCAAAGTTTATATAAAACTACAAAATCACACTAAAACGTGTGAAGTGATATCTGTTACCAATAATGTATTAATTAATTCTAGTTACTGGAAATGTTAAAAAGTATTCTAAGTAAATTGTAAAAGAAAGAGTTTGTTTTAGAGTGGGAAAATCATATGCGTGTGGAGTACTGGGAAAACTTCCCAGGACTTAGACAAAGCAAAGCACTAATAAAACCGTGCTCCTACAACAACATCCTCAAATTCTCAAAATATAATTTATGGTTGATAACGGATTCATTATAGGTTATAATAGCCTGAAATATCACCTTGATAAACTACGATTATCTACTAATTCGGAATGCAGATTATGCCTCGAAGATGAGGAAACTACTATGCATATTCTTTGAGACTGTTCAGCTTTAACAACGCACAGAAGAAACTTGTTTAATATGGAATTTCTGTCACTAAAACAAATTAAGAATTCTTTTCTAGATTTAGTTCTGGACTTTGTTCACAAAGCTTTAAAGGGCTTTGTGTAATCAATAGTGAAATTAGTACAATAGAACTCTTCTTTTCGTAGTACCGGCTGCTGGCCGATTCCACGTCGAAGCTTTAATGGAAAGCGTTTTTAATACTGAGAAGTTTTATTAATATTGTGAACTCTTTATGGCGTAATTTGTGTATTGTTAACAAGACCTTTCTTTTCACTTTCTACCTTTAATTAAGAGGTCAAATAGTAAACAAAGTAGATAGATTAGGTGCACGTAAGAACCCATCTTGTACAAATAAGATCAGTCTATTTAGATCAGAAAATTAAGCTCATTGAGATATATATAACGTAAACATAAATATATACATATACATATCAAATTAAAGAGAGCAGGGTTGTAAGCATATATATATATATATATATATATATATATATATATATACATGAGAAAAACTATTAAAACCTATAGAAAAATTTTCAAAAGCTGGTTATAGTAGTTAACTAATTATTTTTTCGTTCGAAAGCAGTGGAATAACTTAACTATTTCAAATAAAGATAAATAAATTTGGGTTTAAGAAAATCAGTTTTCACTTGACTGGAGATTCTAAAAAAGAAATTGTTTCTATTCTAAAAACAACAGATAGAAATTACATGACAAAACAAAAAACACGATTTTACAACAATAAGTATAAAAATGATAATGACTTCTTCAGTTCTTCTTCTTCTACAAAATTACAATATTATTTAAGAAATTTTTGGTAATCTGTGGCTAAAATGTAATAATAAATTTTTTCCCTGATGATGGTTTTAAAAAACCGAAACGTCGGAAATAAATATTAAATAAGTAAAATAATAAGAAAAATTTTTTATTAAAAAAACCAAATTACAAAATCTGACTGATAGCCCAATACTCATTTATAATAAAGCTAATAAATCTTACATAAAAAATTTCCATGTCACAATGTTAGTTACCGTACTCCTCCGAAACGGCTTTACCGATTTTTACCAAATTTTATATGCGTATTCAGTAGGTCTGGGAATCGGCTACTATCTATTTTTCATACCGCTAAAGTGATTAGGGAGTCCCTACCCAGCAAAAATATCCTTATTGCTTTAACAAAAAATTTTTTATTTTTTTGACATAAATTTTGTTTATATTTTTGAAAAAGAAAAATTTTTTCTTAATATTTTATGTAACTACGCCAACAAGTACATCGAGCATTTACATTCACTTCGTTTCTTCGTCTTCGCCTTGCATGGCAGATGGAAAATGTACTAAAAATTTTTCTAAAGATTTCACTAATGATACTATAACAAATACCGACGAATATCCAATATATCGTCGAAGAAATCCCGATAATGGGGGACAATGGCGGGTGGGGCCGTATTCGCCTCTGCTAAGCAAGACATAAATGCTCATATTAATGTTGAGTTTTGCAGTTCTGTGAAGAGCATCAAATATATAAGTATGTCCATAAAGGCAGTGATATGCCTGTGTTTAGAGTAGAAAATACTAATGTAAATGCTACTCCAATGAACAAAAACGGTGAAATTACGCTCTACCAAAAGGGTCGGTACATCAGCTCCAATGAAGCTGTTTGGCGTATCTTCGGTTTTCTAATTCATGAACGGGATCCAGCAGCTGTTCAGTTAGCCGTCCATCTTGAA